AAAAGGAGATTAATATAAATGTTTCTAAGACAAGGCACACACTGGCAAAGACACTTACAAGAATGTTAAGCCTTCCATTGAAAAGAGAAGCAACATTCTCCATCAGCTTCTGTCTCTGGTCTTTACTGGAAGCATCGCAAACTGACCCACTAACCAGAAATCCTTTACCTTCCCATTCCTTCAAACACTTATTTAGTTCAGCTTCATTTCTTGAACACGTGTAAACAGCAGCCCCAAGCCCTGCCAGTTCATTCACTATTGCATGCCTAGAATGAACAACAACAAAAAAACATTAAAACCAATAAAAAAAATGCAAATTTGAACATTGGGTCTTATCCAAAATCAAAACTTGTCCACAAAAAGATCTTCAAAACATGGAACTGAATAAGATCATATGAAAAGTTAGAGAAAAAGAAAGAAAAGTAAATAAGCCAACCCAATTCCTCGAGTACCACCAGTGACAAGGGCAGTCATTCCATTGAGAGACCACCTTGATGTTTTGATTTTGGAGCTACTGGCTGTCTCTGCCATGACCCTTTCTTTGGCTTGTGTTTTTCTCTCCCCTGCAACTGTTTATCCGGAGTCTGGACTGTGGCTCTTGGTATCTCCCTACTTATTCCAACTGGGTAGCGTTGTCGTCTCTCATATGTTTCAATTATTGCGGCTATTAAAGAGGAGAATCTCAATCCTAATCCATAATAATTGTCAAATTCATGCATCTTCAATTGATCCCTTAATTTCCAACTTTTTTTGAATAGATTTGAATTTTTAACTTTTGATACCAACTATCAATAATTAGCAGTTTAATTTTTTTTTACATGAGATATGATAAAATTCAAAAGTTTTCATGCATTATTTGAAAAAGAAAAGAAAAGAAAATCACAATTACATTATATAATTGATGAATTAAGGTTGTAATTCATAAGCTACATTCGTACATTTATTCCATTGGTACATTGGACATTATTTTTAATGGATAACCAAAGCCTAAAATTAAAATTTTAGTAATTTTCTTTCAAATTAACGACACAAACTTATATTTTTAATCTAAATATATATATTTATTAAATAAAAAAAATTTAAAATACATCTCATCTCTTTTAACTTGAGATCCGTGAAGCGTACACTTGATTAGCATTATTTTTAATTGTGCTTACCCTCTTATTAAAATTGGATTTATAATGGGCTTAGGCTTATTTTGGGCTCGTGGTT